GATCTCGAAAGTTTTCGTCGTTAATAAGAGAGAAATTAGAACGTTCCGTAGGCGCTGCGATTAATAAAAATTAACAATTAACGTATGTCGAAATTACAATATATATCCCCAACAATTAGCAATGTGCTTACCTAACATCGTCCTTCTTGACAATTTTCACCACGTCTTAAAAAAGTTATTGAAGATGACACACGACAAAACCAACATATAAAAAGACAGCTCATTTTAAACTCTGCTTGATCGGAGAGTGTGAGTGTTTATATATACTCTAATATCTATGTTTAAACCGTAATGTCCTATTTGTCTTATTATTATTTATTGTTCGCCAATTTATCAAAATATCAAAATATGACTCGCTGAGTAACTCAGTATCCTTGTTTAAATTTAGCCCATTTTTTGTTCTTTAATATATAGCATCTCAGAAATGAGTCTTTTATAATAATTATTTTCGTTGTCTAGAATCTTTACATTATCCCAATTAAATGTATAATGTTTATTTATTATGTGTTCAGAAATTACTGAAAATTTCGTTGAGTCCAACCTGATATTATTTCTATGTTCTTTTAGTCTCGTCTGTAATTGCCTCTTCGTTTGGCCCACATAAGATGCATTACAATTATTGCAACTGATCTTATAAATCACATTCGAATTGCATGGATGTTTAGTTTTATCTTTCTGTACTTTAATAATATTATCAAGTTTGTTGAGACATCTATATCCTACAATACATTCTGTATTTTTTACCGTGGAAACAATCATTTCTGAGATCCTATTTATATACGGAATGACAAAGAATTTGTTGTTAACTGAGTCCTTTTCTATAATTTCTGTTCTTTCTATGTTGGCTTGTCTCTCTATAATGCTTTTTTTAGATATGATGTGTTCTATCCGACGATTGATTTTGTTAAAGATCAGATCAAGAGGGTAACCATTGCTTAAAAGTATATTAATGATCAATTCCAAATTTTATTGAAAAATTGTGGGTGTGATAACAACAGACATCTGTCTACAAGATTATATATTAAAGAATATAAACATAAAAGCATTACGTAAAATTGGACAATGGCGCGCCCTTTTTATTGACATTTATATATGTGTGTGTGTCATACTTAATTTTTCTATCTTTTTATAATATTTATTTCAGCATCTATATGGACTAAAAATCGAAAAATGATAGCGCTGAGCTTTAATACAAACACATTACGAAGATCTTTTGATATATTTGTCGAACAATCCTTAATATTAACAAAAGAATTAGAAAATGTTGGACTAAACGGGAATGAAATAATCTTTGTTGAACATGTAACAAAATGTACTCTCAGTATTGCGTGTGGTGAGATCATATAACTCTTTTTATTTGTAAAGCATTTTACACATATTTGTTATCGTAAACATTTTTAAAAATTCAAAAAAAAAAAAAATTTGGAAGAGACGAAAAAAAGTATTAAAAGCAATTACCTTGTATAAATTAAATAATATTAAATGTTAACAAATAAAAATTTTCAGTATTAAATAATGTGTATGTATAATATTATAATTTAACAATAGAATATCTCAGATTCATTTTGTTAGCATTAATTGTAATTATAAGCTCGCAATCAAACTTATAATAATATGAAAGAATTTTATTTTCTGTGTTTATATTAGATGTTATTTAACGAATTTATAATACACCTTTACTCAAAACCATTACTCAAAAAATTAATCAGCTACTATAAATAATGTCTCTAATATTAAATTTATTTTTGTTTTTATTAAAGGCATAATGACGGATATAAAAATGGAATTCCTATCAAATGAAAGCCATCAATATTACAAAGCAATGACAAGGTAAATTAATTTTTAATTCTTACAACATATACAGAGATCGCAAGATTAGTCTACATGAAAATAATTTTTAATTAAAAAAAACGTTTTTTAAGAGAATTTTGATAAATATAGCAATTATAATGCAAATTAGAATTTTATTATATGGAGCATTTCACGTGAAAAGAGTCCACCTAAAAATAAACTTTTTAGGATTTTTTCGATATCGTGGAGACTTGTTAGGGTACATATTGTAGATTAAAACTACAAAAATAAGAATTATATGCCTCACCTCCAAGATATCGAAGATGGAACGTTTTAAGTAATTTTTCCTTGTTTGATATTTACAGTTAAAATTACAAAATATATAAAATTTTGATAGACATGATTTTTTAGAATTCTTCCTGTACTTTCAGATAAAAAGTTATTTTTAATGAAAGAAATTTATTAGAACAAAAAATAATTTTTTAATTTAAAGTAAATAAACGGAAAATTATATTCGCTTTTAAAAATTTGAAAAAATTCTCAAAAATAATTCAACATATGTATGTATAATATGGTACTATAAAGGAAATTTAGATTATTTTTTGTCCACATGTGGAAATTTAAAACGACTAGCAAGAAAAGCTAGTTTGCAAGGAAGTGTAATTCTCAATGTTGAGGCATTATACATGTGGGCAAAAAATAATCTAAAGGAAACAACCATTTTATACAGTTCAAAAACAAATCATAATAAATTAAATAAGATTTTAAAGCCAAGATTTACCTTAGCAAAAGTAATTCCAGGCACGTTAAAATTTCATACAATTATTCCTGCAAACAATCATTTAATTTTAAAAGAATTTAGTTTTGATAAAAAAGTATAATAAAATGAATAATAGAATGAAAGTATAATAGAATGAAAAAATATAAAATTAAAATATAAAAAATACAAAAATAAAAACAAAAATATAAAAAATACTTCAAAATTACTTTTTTTAGAGCTGTTTATTGAAAATATATTATTTATGTAGTATGAAATAATTAGGTTAATAAAAATTTGAAATAATGAAGTTTTTCGCAAAAATTTGTTCGAAATTCTCATTTTGTTTAAAAACAATACTCGTTTACGAGTGGATCCCATTGCGATCTCCAAATTTCCTTTATAGTACCATATGCTACATATATTAAAGTATTTTTGAAATTTTTTTCAGATTTTTAAAAGTGGAATAAATTTCTTTCATTAAAATAACTTTTTTATCTAAAAGTACAGGAAAAATCTTAAAAATCATGTCTATAAAAATTTTATATATTTTGTAATTTTAACTGTAATTATCAAAAAAAAAGAAAAATTACTTAAAACGTTACATCTTCGATATCTTGGATGTGAGGGATATAATCCTAATTTTTTTTAGCTTTAACTTCATTCAATATGTGCCCTAACAAGTCACCACGATTAGTTAAAAAATCCTAAAAAGTTTGTTTTTAAGTGGACCCTTTTCACGTGGAATGCTCCACATATGAGTTTGTAAATGTATAACTAAAAAAATGATACTTTTCTCTTGGTTTCACACGTATAAAATTTAATAATCATGATTAGTTAAATATACTTTTATATCTTATAGTATATTATTTTAACACAAAGATGTTTCAGTTTCAGAAAAACTTTTCAATTAAGAGGACGAAATATATTTTTATATCCTAATTTCATATTTAATCTCACTGCTACGGGACGAGAACAACGAAAGAGTGTAAACTTTTTACATTCTTTTACAGATAAGGTAATTGTTATGCGAATATTTCTATATTATAACTTGCATAGTACTTTATTTATTGCACAATCTGTTATTACACAGATAATACAACAACAAACATCTGCATTAAATGAATTGAAACCAAATGAATTGAATACCAAAAGTAAAACAAGACGTAAGTTTGTCATATTTGTGTTCTGATCTTTGTATTTTTATAATGTTGTGCATAAAAAAACAACTAAATACGTTTTTTCATATCTTTAAATTAAATATAATTAAAGGGTGCTTTGTTTAAGTCGTTAAACGATTATTAGAAACCAATTCTGTTCGCAATGTTAAAGTATTACTTAAGCTATGTAAACTTAGCATCTGTCTTTTAAAAATTAATTTTATTAATCATTCTGTAAATTAGAAAAATATATAAAATTGAAAAAATAGTTATCACACTCTTGCGAATGTAGACGAATGTATTTATGCAAGCTTCTAGTTTTTAAATTACATTATTTGTTAAATAATATAGATAAGTCCCTTCTTCACACCTTAATGAAGGCATCCCATACAAATAAGTTGTCACAAGAGATGTTACACGATAACATGATTACTATGTTAATAGCGGTATGTAATGTATTTGTACATTTAATTGTATATAAAGAAGTAATTAAAATTTTTATTTATTAGGGCACAGACACTACCGCCATTACGGTAAATTTTGTTATCTTCATGTTAGCAAATTTCCCAGATGTTCAAGTATGTATATATTAAATTCATTCAAAATTATTTATTCGTTCTTTTAAAATAGAAGTTGCGAATGACATTGTTCTATGATGCAGAAATTTAAAAAATTATGTTGTAAGCAATAAAATCAGAACTATTTATTCGCGATATTTAAGTCATTCATCGGCATACTGTTATATAAATTACGCAATAATAATTTTTAACGTAATCTTGATAAACTATTCTATTATTACATCAAAATCATAACTTGAATTTGTATAGTTTTCCTTTTTAAATTAAGTATACTTATAACAGATAAAAAACTGAAATCTCATTTTTTTATATACAAAAATCTTCATTCACACACACAATTTACTTTAATAATAATTTTATATTAAAAATATATAATGTTTTAAGATAATATAAGAATTTTTTAATAAGACTATACATAAATAACTATATTGAACTATGTCATTATCAACAATTTCATATCAGATAAATACGAGCTAAGTAATAAAAAATTATACTTTAAATATTATATATATATATTTGATTATACACTTAATAATGTTTAAGATAAAAGTATATACAGAATTATTGGAAATTTTTGGAACGAAAACGCCACAATCTGCTCCAATAAAATACGAAAATTTAGAACATATGGATTACTTGGACCGTGTTATTAAGGAAACTTTGAGAATATTTCCTACTATTCCGCTATTTTCACGACAACTAACAGAGGATTTAGAAATGGGTATGTACGATATGAATTGAAGTATAATAATATATATTTTTACAAATATAAATATGTAACTATTATGTTATTGTTATTTAGAATTTATACACAAAAAGAAATCTTAAATAATAACTATAAATTACAATTGCAAATATAACGTTATTATTTAATAATTTTTTCTGTTTAAATTAAAATAAGCATATCAAGATCTAATAGGTGTACAATTTAATATAAAAGCAATATTATCTTCAACTTTTTATGCAATTTATTTTGTTTGTTTATATAAGCAAATTTGCGAGATTTAAAAAATACAGATAACAATATATTATTTTTTATATAATTTTAAATAAATTATGTTTTTCTCTTTTTACTTATTAGATTGAGTTGCGCATATATTTATTAAATCTCTGTAAAAAAAACTAAAACATAAGAGTTGGCCTATTCTTATTGTTTTATTAATAAAATCTATTTATTATGTTTTTATTATGTATTATTATGCTTCTATTATAGTTTTAACAATAATTACATTTAAGTACAAAAATTAATGTTTTAGAAGAATTTATTTTACCAAAAGGGGCTAATGTTGTCATAGAGTTACTTACGTTACATAGAAACGAAAAATTTTGGTCTAAACCGTTAGTATTCGATCCGGACAGATTTCTTCCTCAAAATATTGGAACATCTTATCAGCATTATTACATGCCATTTAGTATGGGACCCAGAAATTGTATAGGTAGATATAAACAAATCACAAACATGTTTCCCAATGAGATTTATTTGCATATATAAATAACTAACAAACTTTTCCAGGTATGCAATATGCGATAATGTCAATGAAAGTTATCCTAGCAACTTTGATAAGAACATTTGTATTCAAAGTAGAAAATAGCATTCAGATAGATAAAATTAAACTAACTGTAGACCTAGTATTATCTACTGTTGAACCTTTAAAAATTCAAATTGAAAAACGAGATATGCATTAAAATGAAAGAACATATTCATTCAAAGAGAATGGTATTTTTTGTAAATATACGATTGAAGTCAAAATTGTTCGCAGAAGAATGAACAAGGAAAGAACAGAAGTTAATTCACTTGGCCTATTAAGCTTTTGTAAAAGAGTGATTTTAATTACAGCTTGAAAATTTTAAGTATATTATAAGTATAGTATTTTTATATGTGATATAATAAAAGGCCAACTTAACGAGCTTATATGCTATTAATTGAAAAATTTTTATTTATTAATTTACGTCATACTATACAAAAGTTACGATAAATGTTTCGACTGTACGACAGTCTTTCTCAATATCCTAATAATATGTTAAAAAATTAATTTAGTCATTTCGACATCATAAATAAATACAATAATTATAAGATTATATGACGAACGCAGTACAAAATTCATGATTGTTGGCATGAGTTAGAGCGTCAGATGCTGTTATATTATGTAACGACATTTTTTGTCAACGAACATAACACCTTTGTTAAAAAATTATTTCTTTTTACTTAACATAATTACAATGTGTACTTTTTAAAAAACAAATCGATATCTGTTAATTTGTTTTTTAAAAAAGTACACATTGTAATTATGTTAAGTAAAAAGAAATAATTTTTTAACAAAGGTGTTATGTTCGTTGACAAAAAATGTCGTTACATAATATAACAGCATCTGACGCTCTAACTCATGCCAACAATCATGAATTTTGTACTGCGTTCGTCATATAATCTTATAATTGTTGTATTTATTTATGATGTCGAAATGACTAAATTAATTTTTTAACATATTATTAGGATATTGAGAAAGACTGTCGTACAGTCGAAACGTTTATCGTAACTTTTGTATAGTATGACGTAAATTAATAAATAAAAATTTTTCAATTAATAGCATATAAGCTCGTTAAGTTGGCCTTTTATTATATCACATATTTTAATTGTATACGAGCCGAAGTTTAATTTATAAAATATATATATAGTATTTTTATATTACTTAAATATGTTATATCAAAATGCTGAACGATTATATCGATTGTATGTTTAAGTATACAAAAATTATTAAATTACTGTAATTAATATATAATTTTAGAAATAAACTTATAATGTAAAAGAAAAAATACAGACAATATTAAGGGGATCCTAAATGATGTTTTTACCGACCGAATGCGAGAATATTTATTTTTTTCATATAACTTTTTATTGACTATACTGATCAATAAATCCTTTTCCACGATTAAAGTACTTATAAAAACGGACCGCGCTAGCTATGTTTGCATATATAAATCATATAAAAATCAAAAATTACAGTTTTGTTATCGGCTGCTTTGTGTCAGTTCGTAATAATACTTATTTAATAAAAAAAGTTTTGCAGTTTGTCTGTGCATGAAATATAGTATGCGCGGTAAGGATTATATGAAGAAATATTAGTAAGCAATTAAAAGTGAGATTGCAAGTCTAATAAAAAAGTTATATATAAAAAAACATTTCACGCATATGTGTGTGTGCAAATCGAGGCTGCGGAATAAAACAGAGCAGTAGATTAGTTGCGTGATATCGTGATAGATGGAGCTGCAACGTGTTTCTCTCTCTCTCTCTCTCTTTCTCTCGCTCTCTCTCTTTCTGTTTTTTATAAGGTCTGTTCGTTTTGGCTACACTGGCCACATTAGTTCAGAGGTTGTCTTTTTTGTTCGACATTGGAAGGAAAAAGATAACCTCTGAATTAGTGTAGCCAATGTATGCCATTATATATTTTATGTTTGATAATATAAATAATACATCAATTTTTTTCTATAAAAAACTATATATAAAACAGAAAAAATTTTGTGTTATTTATATTATCAAACACATGAAATATATAATGACATACAATTTTATTTTAATTATATTTGTATAATACAATAATATTCACATGATTTTTATAGATAATAAGTATATGCATTTATAATTTATAAAAACTAAATCTTATTTTTCATACATCGAAGTAATTCGAGTAATGATTTTACTGAAATATATATTTGATAGACATTGTGATTCTAACGAATTTTATTTGTTCGCATATACCTGTAAATTGTTATAAAAATTACTTTTACTGTAAATGTAAGATAAATTGTATGCAATCTATAAAACAAAAAGAGAGACAGAGAGAGAGAGAGAGAGAGAGAGAGAGAGAGAGAGAGAGAGAGAGCGAGCTTTTTTTTCTTTCCCGAAAATAGAGACATTCAATGCAAACGGTGAATTGTATATCTCTTTACGACACGTACAGCCGAGGAAAAATTTTTTATATATAATTATATAAAATAATTGTATAATTATACATATAATTTTGCGATTATATATGTATAAAATTATACAATTATTTTAATATAATTATATATAAAAAATTTTTTCCCGGGTTGTATGTGTCGTAAAGAAATATATGTATAATTGATCGTTTGCATTGAATGTCACTATTTTTTGAAAAGTAAAAAAAGAGAGCTCTCTCTCTCTCTCTCTCTCTCTTTCTTGATCCTTTATGCTTATTGTTAGTATTCTATCAATTAGTAATCAATGCAATCAATCATATCGTTTTACGGCAACAGCCAGTTACTCGTTCACTCACTCATTCATTCTTTTAAAATATGTCCATTTTTATACATAATTATGTAAATTTATATATAAAAAATAAGGGTGCATATATAATCATGTCAAATTTGTATATAAAACATATATATTTATATATATAAAGAAATACTTATTTATTACACTTGTATATATATATATAAATTTATATAATTATATATAACAAGCACTTTTACTTAATTATGTATAGACATATTTCATAATATAATTCTGCGATTATACGTATACTTTTATATATTTCTATATAATGTTATATTATTATATACACAAATTTTTGTCCCGGGGTATTTTAAACTTTTATTTTCTTTTTCTTTCCCCATTCTTGTCTGTCTTTACATGCATGTTATTATGTTGTATGTGTATCATGTATAATTTGGATTTGTATGTATGTTGAGAAGATTGGAATAGATAAAATTTTATTACTTCATGTTTTTATATTATAAATGCAGCTTTTTGTAAATATCCGAAATAAATAATTTTTCTACAAATATTTTAAATTTATCAAAATATTTTTTACTGCACAATTAGACTAATATATTTTGCATTATTCTATCTTTATTAATTTTTTTCATAATAAAATGGATTTTATTGAACAAATAATAAATAGTAAATAGAGAAAATATAAAATATCGAAAAGAATATATTCATATAAACATATATTTGTGAAATCGAAATTTTGTTAAAATTGACTTTCATAGAAATTGTATTTTATAAATTTAATTAAAAAAAGCTGCATTTATCAGATAGAAACATAAAGTAATAAAATAATATATTCCAATCTTCTCAACACACACACACACACACACACACACACACACACGCACACAACTTCTTATAACAAATGTTATATAAATTATACATATACAGGATGTAACAACGATCATATATCAGGAGTTTTTAGAAGAAAATACGTATTTTATTGAAAAATGTTTTATTACCAAAGTTATAAGGGTTACTTATCATTACATAGTAGTATTAGTATTATGTTGAATAGCATTATCAAAGTCACATAAAGATTATTTGGAAATAATGGAAACCCTCATTTTTTATTGCATGTACATACATGTAGCTTACTTTGAGAGCTTTTCTAAATAAATTTTTCATTCTGTGCATGCAATAAAAAATGAGGGTTTCCATTATTTCCAAATAATCTTTATGTGACTTTGATAATGCTATTCAACATAATACTAATACTACTATGTAATGATAAGTAACCCTTATAACTTTGGTAATAAAACATTTTTCAATAAAATACGTATTTTCTTCTAAAAACTCCTGATATATGATCGTTGTTACATCCTGTATATGTATAATTTATATAACATTTGTTATAAGAAGTTGTGTGCGTGTGTGTGTGTGTGTGTGTGTGTGTGTGTTGAGAAGATTGGAATATATTATTTTATTACTTTATGTTTCTATCTGATAAATGCAGCTTTTTTTAATTAAATTTATAAAATACAATTTCTATGAAAGTCAATTTTAACAAAATTTCGATTTCACAAATATATGTTTATATGAATATATTCTTTTCGATATTTTATATTTTCTCTATTTACTATTTATTATTTGTTCAATAAAATCCATTTTATTATAAATAAATTAATAAAGATAGAATAATGCAAAATATATTAGTCTAATTGTGCAGTAAAAAATATTTTGATAAATTTAAAATATTTGTAGAAAAATTATTTATTTCGGATATTTACAAAAAGCTGCATTTATAATATAAAAACATGAAGTAATAAAATTTTATCTATTCCAATCTTCTCAACATACATACAAATCCAAATTATACATGATACACATACAACATAATAACATGCATGTAAAGACAGACAAGAATGGGGAAAGAAAAAGAAAATAAAAGTTTAAAATACCCCGGGACAAAAATTTGTGTATATAATAATATAACATTATATAGAAATATATAAAAGTATACGTATAATCGCAGAATTATATTATGAAATATGTCTATACATAATTAAGTAAAAGTGCTTGTTATATATAATTATATAAATATATATATATATATATACAAGTGTAATAAATAAGTATTTCTTTATATATATAAATATATATGTTTTATATACAAATTTGACATGATTATATATGCACCCTTATTTTTTATATATAAATTTACATAATTATGTATAAAAATGGACATATTTTAAAAGAATGAATGAGTGAGTGAACGAGTAACTGGCTGTTGCCGTAAAACGATATGATTGATTGCATTGATTACTAATTGATAGAATACTAACAATAAGCATAAAGGATCAAGAAAGAGAGAGAGAGAGAGAGAGAGAGAGCTCTCTTTTTTTACTTTTCAGAAAATAGTGACATTCAATGCAAACGATCAATTATACATATATCTCCTTACGACACATACAACGCGGGAAAAATTTTTTATATATAATTATATTAAATAATTGTGTAATTATAATTTTGCGAAAAATAACAAAAATTGGGTACATGCTAAAAATGTAGCATGTAGACACCCTATATATACATATTTGTAAACAAAATCGTGTGCGCGCAATGACATATATTTGCGCGGGATGGTT